CCATGGTGCTGTAATAATTGTGTGTTGCACACTTGTTGCGGAAGTAAGAGGTGCAATTTTGAAACCTGTTTCTCTCTCTCTCATCCCCATATTTAACATTCAATATTCTCATAATGTGTTACTGAACCAGTTAAGGCTCTTTATCTAGTCCAGGGGTCCCCAAAATATGGGGTCAACCATGCAGTAGTGGGAGGGGGGGCAACAAATTCCATTACTGATTGGGGAGGGAGGGTGTGCGACAGGAAAAGTTTGGGCACCACTGATCTAGTCAGATATCTATCTGCTTTATATTAATGCAGCTGCACCTTTCAAAGCACTTTTGTTTTCAGCATTACTTATCTTTCAATGCCAAAATCCTGTTTCTCCCAACCTCAGTCCAATAGGACTATGAAATTGAAAAAAAGAAAAAACAAATGCTATCTGATTAAAAAAAAAAAAAGACGTGAAATCCAATAAAGGTCCAAGATCAGTCCTTATTTGTCTTTCTCCAATGCTCAGAAAAATCTGAGTCTGTGAAAAGCCTTTGGATCTTACAGCATTATATATATGCATATAATAAGAAATTTGGCGTATCGGAACACACTATCTATACTCATGTTTTAAATATTCATACAAATGTGTACACACTTAAAATTATATATATACATACATATACATACATGCACACATATATACATATGCAAGAAAAAATATACAGTGGCATACACATAATACACAATTTCTAACACTTCTGATTTCTGAAGTTAGAAAAATAAGCCTTTCTAAAATACATCATTGCTGTTTGTGCTACTGTTGCTGATAGTACCACTAGCTCCATCCCACAAAATAAATAAATAAAAATTATTTGCCTAATTTTACTGAAGGAGATGGGAAAGAGTGAAAGGGCAGAGGGGGTTCTGTAGTTTCTTTTTAAAGTTCTTTATTTTAATCCTTCACTTAGAAATACTCAAAGAACTGGAAGAGACAGAGACAGCCATTACTTTATTTAAATAACCCCATGGCTGCAAAACTACTACTCTATAGCTTCAATGTAACCAAACAGGATCTTGTGTCACAGAGCATTTCTGGCATGAACAGCCCCAGTCTTCCCACATGTCATTTCATATCATTACATCTCATGTAGAATGCCTTATTTGAAGTTTTCAAAAGGGAAGATCTTTTCACATTCAACTATGATGACAAAAAAGGTTCTTTTATTTATTTATTTATTAACATAGCATGCTACTAAAGCATCTCTCATCACTTGCTACGATGAGAGAAGATGCATTCCTGGAATGCTTCTGTTCCAGGCCCTCAAAAACAATTATTTAGGCATTTGATTTGATCTGTTGGTGGTTTTCTTCTTCATATTGAAACTTTAGAAAGTGAGTTTGCTAGTTTGAACAAAAGGTATACATGGGCCTTTTTCAAGTCACACATTTGTATACCCCACGTGGTCCATAACCCACCTTTACATCAGTTTCAAGGAAAACGAGTCAATTTGATGTTTGCTCAAAACTGTGCACAGCAGGATTGATAACCAGCAATGTTCTCCAAACACTGAAGAAAGTATTCTGACAAGTAAAATTAATGATTAGCATGGCTATGCTGGGAAAACAGAGCAAAGACTTGAATGATGAGAAAGGAACATATGGGGCAATGAGGAAATGGTGACAGAACTAGTAGAGTTTAAAGGGCGAGAGAGAGAGAGAAGTAAAATACGAGTAGAGAGCTGCATTTGAAGAATTCAGGTGACTTCTATCAAACAGCAATTTTTATAGCAAGGTTGCAAAGCACTTTATAAACATTAGCAAAGAAAGTTATTTGAAGGGCAAAAGATCCTTCTAGTCCCAAGATCTCAGCCAACAAATGAAAGGATATTCTTAGCATTTTACAAGATAAGAAAGTATCCACTTCTGTGATCTATCCAGTAAAATCTATTAACTGTGTGAAGAGAGAAAACAAATGTTTTCCAAGCAGTTTTGGCTGCTAACTGGCTTTCTTGCAGGGAAAAGAAAAGTTATAAGGAATAATCAGTCAAAGTTATCTTACTTGGAGGACAGAGTGGTATGAAAAAATTCCAGTTGGCTCTCACTGTCAGGCTTTGTTGAGCAATTATCTGTGTTGAAAGTGGTACTTTACATTGTTTCTTTATACTCTCATTGTTATAACCTTATCTCTCATAAAATAATCCAGGTTAATGTAATTTAACTTAGCTAAATTGGGCACATAAAACACACAATGCTGAGAAATTGAACTGCTCTTTCTCAATGAGTACATTTTACATTTGTTCAATTGAAATAATGGTTTGTACTTAGCAGAAAGACTTGCAAAACAAATAATTCCTGGTGATATGATATCTATTTACTACACTGACTTACTAATGTGAAATGCAATGCAATCACTTTTGGTTCTGTGTTCATTTTTCACACTGTAGCACATTGTGATTATCTTTTCTTGGAATATTTTCTGTATCCTATTTATCTAGAAGTCACTCTCTCTCACATTCTACCCAAAAGAAAAATTTCTTGTGTCTTTATTTTGGACTTCAGATGTATCTCATGGCTATATATACACTCCCAAAGATGGTCACCTCCTTTCTCAATTGGGTTAGAAGTCAGACCCTGATTGGGAAAAAAAATGGATTCATTTTGGCAGTGTCCGACTTACTACAAAGTATACAACTTTACATTTGGTACTTTCTAGATTTTAAAATTGTATTTTTGAAGTTCAGATTTTTTAAATATCAAAAGGTTTTGCTTAAAGAAGCAATTTTCAATTTTTCAAAATAATTCAAGATTGTGCACACTGCAAACTCGCTGTTACTACGCACATTGTAGATACACACGAAATAATGGGGTAAGTTTTTATTAGTTCTTCAACTTTCATCTACATCAAGCAATGAGAAACCATTCTTGAAGAAGCCGTCTATGCCCCTGTGATCTTTCCTAACAACTTGCCTTTTTCTAAGCTATGAGTAAAAAATTCTCATAGCTTTGTGAGGGGCAAACAATATTCTGATTTTAGACATTGTTTACTTTAGAACATATACTTGTATATTTATACAAATCTTTTTCCTATCATTCAAAGGCATGGCAATTTTATAGTGTCAGTTTACAAATTAATCCCTCGGGATGTGTGTTAAAAAGAGAAAATTTTTAATTTCTCTCTATCATAGGATCATCCATCATAGTTATGATAGCTCTCTGTTAAGCATGTACTAAATATAGCACATCTGTTTTACTAGATACTAAACTTTTTCTTTCAAACCATAGGTATTTATTGCTTACATGTTTTGATAAAGAAACATTTACATGTAGAGAGAATGCATTAATAGTTACCTTACATAGTAACCATTTGTCTAGTGCACCTTTTTATGTTTTTTAATCCAAGTTTTAAAAATTTGGAGTCATTAGCATAGAATAATAGAAACATAGGGCTGGAGAAGACCTCAGGTGATCATCTAGTTTATCCCCCCGCACTGAGGCAGGACCAAGTATACCTAGACCATCACTGACAGGTGTTTGTCCAATCTGCTCTTAAAAACCCCCAATGACAGGAAGTCTATCACCTCCCTTGGTAAACTATTCCAATGCTTAACTATCCTTATAGTTACAAAGTCTTTCCTCACATCTAATTTAAATAATCCTTGCTGCAGATTAAGCAGATTACTTCTTGTCCTACCATCAGTGGACACAGAGAACAACAAATCACTGTCCTCTTTATAACAGCTCTCAACATATTTGAAGAATATTATCAGGTTTCCTCTATCCCCATTGATCTTCTTTTCTCAAGATTAAACATGCCCATTTTTAAACCTTTCCTCATAGGTCAGGGTTTCCAAACTTTTTATAATTTTTGTTGCTCTCCTCTGGACTCTCTCCAATTTGGCCACTTCAAGTGTGGCACCCAGAATCACGCACAATACTCCAGCTGGGGCCTCACCAGTGTCGAGTAGAATGGAACAATTATCTCCTATGTCTGACATACAATACTCCTGTTAATTCACACCAGAATAATTGTTTTTTTCTCAACTGCATCATATTGTTGGCTCATTCAATTTGTGATCCACTGTAACCCCCACGTCCTTTTCAGCAGTACTACCACCTAGCCAGCTATTCCCCAGTTTGTATTGTTCCATTTGATATTTTCCTTCCTACGTGAAGTACTTTGCACTTGTCTTTATTGAATTTCATCTTGCTGATTTCAGACCAAATCTCCAATCTACCAAACTAATTTTGAATTATAATCCTGTCTCCAAAGTGCCTGTAACTCCTCCCAGCATGGGGTCACCTGCAGATTTTATACTCCATTATCAAAGTCATTAATATTGACTGGTGCTGGACCCAGAGCAAACGCCAGAGAGATCCCATTAGATCCATTCTTCCAGTGTGACAGTGACCCACTGATAGCTACGAGTATGGTCTTTCAACGACACCTCTACCTCGATATAACGCTACCCGATATAACATGAATTCGGATATAACGCGGTAAAGCAGTGCTCCAGGAGGGCGGGGCTGCGCACTCCGGTGGATCAAAGCAAGTTCGATATAACGCGGTTTCACCTATAACGCGGTAAGATTTTTTGGCTCCCGAGGACAGCGTTATATCGAGGTAGAAGTGTAATAGTTTCCTCTACACCACATTTCCCTACTTTGCTTAAAAGTTTTACTAAAAATCAAGATCATCTGCTGCTTCCCCGCTCTCCAGTAGGGAAGAAATCCTGTCAAAGAAGGAAATTAGGTTGGTTTGGCATGATTTGTTCTTGAGAAATTCATGTTGGCTATTACTTATCACTCTGTTATCCTCCAAGTGCTTACAAATTGAGTGTTTGATAATTTGTTCCTGTATCTTTCCAGTCTGATTAGTTTTTCTGGGTAATCAAATTAATCACAAATTTGATTTATAGGAAAGATTCTACATGCTCAAGATTTAAAAAGAAAAAACATTGAATTAAAATATTTCATTTTCAACAATACATTTGTTCTTTATTCAAACAGACTTGGATGAGTTACACTTACCTGCAGCCATAACTTGTTATTCACTGCATCCCTCCCGGTAGCAATGCATTGAAATGTAGCATTCTGCCCTGCATTGACCTCTACATCCCCCAGCCTCAGGAAATGTGGAGATTTATCTGTGGAGGTGGAAAAATAAAATTACAAACAGTGCTCACTAATAAAAAACAAAAAATGCATTACTTTCTCCCAAAAGATACATATTATGACAACCTTTGGCTAAAACTAATCTCATATGAAAGAAAGTGATTTTTGTTTCACCTTAATTCAAGAAAAAAGCATTTTTGCTTTTTCCTCCTCTCCACCAGTGACTCTACTACTGTATGTTGTACATGAGTTATAATAAAGTAATTTACAAATCAAAGCAAAAGGAAAATGGGGGGAGGGATAGCTCAGTGGTTTGAGCATTGGCCTGCTAAACCCAGGGTTGTGAATTCAATCCTTGAGGGGGCCACTTAGGGATCTGGAGCAAAATCAGTACTTGGTCCTGCTAGGAAAGGCAGGGGGCTGGACTCAATGACCTTCCAGGGTCCCTTCCAGCTCTATGAGATAGGTAGATCTCCATATATTAAAATAAATGCAGAAATGTGAGAAAGACATCACAAAAATTCTCCCAGTGAATTTCCATTGTATTCCACCTGACATACTGTAATCCCCCACAATTAAAACACGGGGGAGGGAAGAGAGATTTAATTTGTTGTATTCATGATACTGTATTAAGAGCTAATGCAATGTAATTTTGAGTTCTTTCCTCCTCAGCAGACAAATGTTTTCTGTGCCATTAAATATGGCAACATTTCAATGGCTGATAGAACACAGTTTATACATCTGCACAGACTCAATGGCAAAACCACCCGATTGAAATATTGAGCCTAAGAAAACTGATGGTCACAATTGACGGATACACGTTATATAGCTCTCTCACACGTTTTCACCTACATAACCAGTTAAACTGAAGCCTCATTCGTGCTTTCTTTTTTTTAAAAAAAAAAAGCAATTTGAAAAGAGAATGGGATAAGCATCACTAAGCAGACAGGGTTTATTTAAATACTGTATCATGTTGATAATCTGCTGGCAGGACTATATTTGACTACCTTTTTCTTTTACCACCTGTTTACGCAACAGAGCTCTTTTTTAAGCATCTGTTTTTAAGCGAGTCCCTATAGCTGGTCTGGCTGAAATATAAAAAGGCAAGAGACTCGATAGCTCCTTAGGCTGAGTAGGGCAATGCTCCTAGTCTTAGTCGTTTTTAGGTGAGGAAAGAGGATAAAGGGAATTTGAGTTTTCAATCACATCTTTATTATTTGGCATCTCTTAGTGAGCACTGGCTACAGGAACTTGTATATCTGTAGAGAAAGTAGTTAAGCTATCAGCCACAGGGATACACTACAACAAAGAAGCACTTTTGAAGGGGATTGAGGGGCTATTGTGGTTGGGCAGGAGCAGGTAGAGTAGAATGGGACAGAATTAACAAGAAAAGTAGCAACAAATGAGAGAACTGCATAGACATGATTTTTTCTCACATGCATTGGTCCAATGTTTCCTGAGCTATTGCGCCACTGGCCTAGGATTTTTTCCAGGATTAGCCGAGCGAGAGTGAAACCTACATTTAAATGCATACAGTCTGTCCCTATTCATAATAGCCTACAATAATTGGAAACCAGAAGATATATAGTTCTCACTCAGGTTTCATATCCTTATTAAGTTGTCTAACAGCCCTCAGACTTAAATATGCTAACCAATTTAAAATTAGCACAAACCAGTATATTTATTTTTAATTTCAATTTCAATTTTAGTGTCCACATCTATCACTAAAAAGGCAACCACTGAAGTTACACTTTTATTTTCATGCAATGCTTTATTTCTGCTAGACAGAAAGATTTTTACCTAGTGAAATCACTACTGTGCCACCCCAATATTCATTCATGTAAGCTGTAATAGAAATTCTACAGAAGGAACAAAGGACATCAATGATCAAGCAATGAAAACTCAGCAGTCTGAGCCGATATTGAGCACATCCTGAAAAGACAGAGAAAAATGCAGCCCTTAATCACTACTTACCACAAGGGTAACTCAGAACCTGGATATCATCAATGGCAATGTAGCCATTTCTCCCATCTGAGACTTCAGCTTCAAATATTACCTGTCAAAAAGAAAGAAAAAAAGGTTTACAAAACTCATTTCTACAGAATCCACAGTGGAGAGTGCAGATATATGGCACGTTGCTTTTTCATTTAAGCTGAACTTTCCACAAGATTTCATGATTGAATGGAATATTTATTACTTAACGTACTATAGTTCCATACCATTTGTATATTTGACTTCTTCTAGATTTGCTACTTATGGATTCAATACAGAAACATGTTTCTTAACTTGTAATTAATGTTAGTCTGTTTCCATTGGACTAAAGTTTATTTTCAGCACTATATACATAGGATTAGACTCCGAAAGTACCATTTTAAGGTGGGTCAGTCATCTCCTTACACACAAGTAAACTTAATTAACAGGAATTTAAATTCCAGTTGGAGTCACAATCCCCACATATTCCTGAACTCCCTCTGCAGTACAATTCCATAAAAGAAAATTGTTCTTGTGATGTTGCAAGTAGCATTTCCCCAGTGGCTTTGACAGGAGTAGGTGCAGTTTGATATTATCATTGTCAGTTTCATTCTTCACTCCTGCTAGGAAATAGGGAAAGTGTGATGTGGGGGAGTAATAAAGGCACCTCTTCACAACTGCTCCTACTTCCTGTTCCACCCTCCACCAACAGGAGCAGCAAAGAATTCCTGGGCTGCTCCTATAAACAGAGATTTCTCCAGAGACTTGCAATACCAGACTGTGAAACTGACCAGAGTGTAATTAGTGTATCTACTGCTGCCTTGCCATGGAAAGGCATGCATTTGGCAAATGACACAAAGCTGGGGGAGGAGGGTTGCAAACACTTTGGACAATAGAGATAAAATTCAAAAGGATCTTGGTAAAATGGAGAACTCTGCTATAGATAACAAAACAAAATTCAACAAAGACAAATATAAGGTGCTACATTAGGGTGACCAGACAGCAAGTATGAAAAATCGGGACAGGGGGTGGGGGTAATAGGAGCCTATATAAGAAAAAGACCCAAAAATCGGGACTGTCCTTATAAAATCAGGACATCTGGTCATCCTATGCTACATTTAGGGAAGAAAAATCAAATGCACAAATACAGAATAGGGGTAACTGGCTTGGCAGCAGCACTGCTGAGAAGGATCTGGGAGTTGTGGTGGATCACAAGCTCAACCTGAGTCAACAATGTGATGCTGCAAAAAAAGCAAATGCAATTTTAGGTTGCATTAAGGAGGCATAACATGCAAGTCACGGGATGTGATAGTACCACTCTATTCAGCGGTAGTTAGGCCTCAGCTGAAATAATGCGTCCAGTTGTGGTCATCAATGTATAGAAAGGATGTAGAGAAACTGGAAAGGATCCAGAGGCAAGTGACAAAGATTATCAAAAAGAAGAACAGGAGGATTTGTGGCACCTTAGAGACTAACAAATTTATTA